ATTTGAAGCCCCAAATTTCGACAGTAGCAAAATCTATTGTACATTGAATTTAGTTTCTCATTTACAAACTAACAATACTATGTATTTATTTAAATAAGTAAAATACATGAACCTACCTATATTTTCCAAAAACAGATTGTACATTGTTAAATGTGCTACATTATTTCATTTTGTGAACTGTCAACCAAAAAACTTTACTGCAATAAATAAAAGCTACAGTAACTCAGTTGATGAAGGGCATTACTTTCACATAGGCCTTCACATAGGGGCGGGCCCCACAAGTATTTAAAAAAGAAAATAAAAAATAGGGCGTGCCCACCCTTTGTGAGGGATCTTGTGAAATAATGCCTTGTACTCACCCATGATACTTTCACGTGTAAAAAAAAAAAAAAAAACAATGATGGATGAAATGATTGAGTCATATTTTAGGAAGGTCTCATAATCGAATATAAGTACTTTGTATCAGGAAATTATTAATTTGTACACTACATGGAATCTATGTAAATTTTTATAATGTATTATCTTACAAATTCAAGGCCTGTCTGGACGCAATGTCCATTATAATTCTAACCGTTAATAATAAAAAAAGCAACCGTTACTATTTTTTTTATTTCACATTAATTTGACAAGATTTCAGGCCAAAACACTTCACTTTCCCAATTTACCCCCCTTATTTTGCACACCTCACCAACCTAAACTCTTCTCTCTCCCAAGTTCTTCGTCCAATTCCCTTCCACAAAAATTCACCTGCCACACTTATGCGATTTCAGCACAATCGCAGTTACCTTCTCCTCCCAGATCTGCACATGGTAAAACCTCTCTTCCGTGTTTGAATTGTGTTCTCCGACGACAATTTTCAGCAGATCCTTCCCTTAGAGATCGTGCGGGGAGAGCTCCACGAACCGGACGAATCGCCTTTTCAGACAGACTGTCGATAAAGTAATCCAGCCAAAGAGAAACCACGCTAACCTTATGGATCCACAGCTGTCATCGGTATGGGTCGTTTGATTCGATTTCTTACATTTTCACGTCTGGGCATGTTATCTAACCACCGTCCCCAAATTTTTTCCACACTCTGATGTTTTCTGGCTTGTCATCGTAGATGGGTTACAACGGTTCGTCGTCCACCTCCAATCCTCCTCCAAGCCAGACCCAAGCATCTGCCCAAAAAAAGGCCTACTGGACCAAACGTGATAACACAATTTTCGTGGCCGCATGCGACACGATGAGCCGACGGTCACCATAATGGAAAGTGCTTCACGAAACACGACTGGGATCAAGTGATCCAGTTCTTCAACACTAACTCCGGGCACGTTTGGACCAAGCAACAGTTGAAAAATCATTGGGATTGTCTTCATCAAAAGCATAAACGACTCACGGAG